ATGTACATATATATATGAGTTCGATATATTGTGATATATATAAATATAACAATTATGTATGTTATGATATAAATAAAATGTCTCACAACTACACCATGTCTTTGAATTCCCTGCCTTCTGCAATTGTAAGTGAACCATCTCACCAGGATTCCTGCCAAATTCTGAATTTAAAGTGGTGTCATCTGTATAGTTACCATCTAACAAAGGATTTGCTGAGTATATGGTAGACAGCCCATGAAAGTCTTCTAGAAAATATCATAAAGAAACTGAAGTTTGCATGTGTTCACTGAATTTTTCAACTTTATGTTTTTTAGAACCTTCAGGGCTTATAAATCTGACCTCATTTTCTCTTCATGTCTTGAGCAAAATAAACATCTTCTACTATTCTGTGTTGTTTTTGACCCTATATACAGTGCTGGGTAAGTAAATATTGTGGGGAATTTTGCCAAAGAATATATTAACAATTTTGATAATAGATTTAGACTCTTGAGGGTATAACAAATGGCTCATGGATTCTTCATAAATCATTTTCTGGGACACGGTTTTGGAAAATAATCCTAACATGTTTAAAGAACATTTAGTTAACACCAAGTTAACTGAAGGGCGCTGAGAAGACTGCTACAGAATTAGTATTTGTGTAGAAACCTAATAGAAGCTTAAATGCCACCTCCTCAGAGCAACCTTCTTTGGGTGTCTTAAAGTTTTAGTCTGTATCTCATCACATGTTTTATTTCCATCATTATCTTTATCAGAATTTACACTTATCTTCTGTGTTTATTGTCTGTTTCCTCATGAAAATATTCACTGGTAGATGGGTACGGTGTCTCACGCCTATAGTTTCAGCTACTTGGGGGCTGAAGTGAGAGGACTGTTTGAGCCCAGAAGGTTAAGTCCAGCCTGGGCAACATAGCAAGACTCCATCTCAAAAAAGAAAGGATATGGATATGTCCATTGGTGTTTTGTCTATTTTGCTTAGTATATAGTTCATTGAATATTTACTAATGTGTGGCTCTCAAAAACTCAGCTGCAAAAAGAGAGAAACTGAGATGAGCAATAATTCAGGCATATCTGCACTCTTCTGTTGTATTATTATATCCAGTACAATCATGTGGGATATGATAACATTTCAGTCAACAAGGGATCACATATACAGTGGTGGTCCCATAAGACTATAGTGGAGCTGGAGATATATAGTAGGTTATACCATGTAGCTTTGTGTATGATATATAAGGACAAAATTGCCTAAGGAAACATCTCTCAGAATACATCCCCATGGTTAAGTGATGCATGACTATACTTATAAAGTCACTTAGCCACACTTACAGAAGCAGAAATCACCACGAGTCTCTTTTAGGCTTTTGTGCTCATGTTCCTTAGTGACTAAAAGTCAATTAGGAGTACATTAGCCTATTTGTTGCCTAGTCTTAGTCTATATTTTACACTTTTATCCTCCCTTTGCACTTTGCTCATCAGTAACTCCCACGAGAGAACAAATGAAAATATAACACTTTGCAATTCTGTGTAAGTTATGGCACATCACCTTTGGAGGTAAGTTCTCTTGTTACAAGATAGGTTGAAGCTGTTTTTGATGCTTGTCTTATACTATGAGGCAATGCAAGTAATTTTGTTCCTGGGCTGTAAAACAAAACAAAACAAAATACATTAATAGGGAAGAACTGTTTCATTCAAAAAGTTGAAACCTGAAGGGAAAGCACCTTTTTAGATTCATGTGTCTTTAATGCAGATATAAAGTATATCTGAGAAAATTGCCTCTGACTGAACCCTAAAGCTGAACCCTATTCTTGCCAGCAAATGATGGTATTTGCCCTTTGTTTTTTTTTTTGAGATGTAGTCTCACTTTGTTGCCCAGGCTGGAGTGCAGTGGTGCCATCTCGGCTCACTGCAGCCTCTGCCTCCTGGGTTCAAGCGATTCTTCCACCTCAGCCTCCGAGTAGCTGGGATTACAGATGTGTGCCACCAGACCTGACTAATTTTTGTATTTTTAGTAGAGACAGGATTTCACCCTGTTGGCCAGGCTGGTCTTGAACTCCTAACCTCAGGTGATCCATCTGCCTCAGCCTCCCAAAGTGCTGGGATTACAGGTGTGAGCCACCTTGCCTGGACTGGCGTTTGCATTTTGAGAAGGGAAGTCTAACTGTCCCTTATCACTCTTGACAAACACTTGACATTCTTACAGAAACCAGCACACTTACAAGACAAAATGATAATAATAATAATAATAATAATAATACCTCGAAACCCACACACTGAGAAGGGGGCAATAAATAACAATAGAGAGAAGAGAAAAGTCAGCAGGGCATTTTAGAAGAAAAAAAATGAAGCAAGTTAAACTTTCTACATGGTAACCATGATTATGTAGTTGATACACAAAGTAATGACTGGCCCCTCAAGAAGAGGTTAAAATATATTCATATGTTAATGAGTGCAATTTAGAAAGATTTCTTTCAAAAAGGAGTTGAAGTTCTATTGCTTTAAGGAATAAATCACAATCATCTGGAAATTTAACTTCTGTGGAATACCTCTTTGCCTCTTAAAGGAAATGTTAATGTATTATATTGAGGTTATTATTGCAACAGAATCTTCAAAAATATGACTATGCTTTTATTTGTTTCTAGAATCTATATGACACATATCTGTTCCAGATATAGTATCTACTAAGACAATTTCATAATCCAAAAAATATGGAGTAAAAGAGCAAATAGTTGGTTAGCAAGGATATCATATAGACTAGCAAAGAGGAAAGGCTATGAAATAAAATGTTTATAGATGGCTAGTCTCATATATCTGCATTATTCCTATAAATGCATCTCATGATATATGTAATCAGAGTTATAGTTATTTAATCTTCTCCCTTTTTGTCCATTGCCTCTTTTAGGTCCATGGTTTTTTGGTGAAATCACTGATGGCAAATTGGGTTGCTGCTTTTCCTTTGGGTTGTTTATTAATGGACATTTCCTACAAGGCAGCCTAACATTTATAATTGGAATTCTCCAGGTAAGAAGTAGAAATGCAATTTAAGAACATCTTGTCCTTGTTGTACTAATTGCATAACAATTATGAATTAAATCCAAAATCCAAAATTAAGTACCATAGATCATCTTTCTTACTTTACTTGCAGGGCAGTCTTTAATAAAAGCTTCATTTGCTTTTAAAGTGCTTCCTAAACTCCTTCCACCACTCTCATGTAAACATCTAAAATACATTTTTTTTTCCTCCAAGATGGCATCTTGCTCAGTTGCCTAAGCTGGAGTGCAGTGGTGCAGTCTTGGCTCACTACAGCCTCCGCCTCGTGGATTCCAGTGATTCTCCTGCCTCAGCCTTTCGAGCAGCTGGGATTACAGGCATGCACCACCATGCCCAGCTAATTTTTGTATTTTTAGTAGAGACGAGTTTCACCATGTTGGCCAGGCTGGTCTCGAACTCCTGACCGCAGGTGATCCACCCGCCTTGGCCTCCCAAAGTGCTAGAATTACAGGCATGAGCCACTGTGCCCAGCTTAAAATACATTTTTCTATGAAGGGTTTATAAGAGGTGAAAGAAGTTTTGTTGATTTTGTTTCATTGTGTTTTTCTCATTGACAAAAAATGAAATAAGGGATTTATGGTAGAAAAAATTTTAGATTTCTGAGTAAACCAAAACTGATTATGATGATGAATAAGGAAAATGTTTTAGAGGGGAAAAAATAAAAAATAGACACATAAAAAAAAGAGTCAGTTATTTGGTGGAAATTGCACTATGCAAAAACCAGACCTGGGCTTTCCTAGCAATGTACTTGTTTAGGAACAAACTAATGTATTAGGTTTACATTTGATTCCTTTAAAACAAACACACAAAGAACCCTGTCCCATAGGAAAACTCTGTAAACAGACTTGAAAAGTATTTATCTAACAATTTCTTTATTTTACTCACCTAACAGAGTTAGTGGTCCAAAATTTGAAGTTTTGGAAGAGATCCAAAAACATTCAAAATAGGTCATGACCTTCTAACAGGGCAGTAAAACATGATCCAGCAGGATTAGAGCCAGCCAAGTAGGAAAGACCTCTGCCTAGCAAACACTGACCCAAGTCCAGAATATTCTCTGCATAGCAGCATTATATTTGTGAGTAGGTCCTGGGTTCGTTTCATTTTCTTTTTTTTTTCTTTTTTTTGAGACAGAGTCTTGATCTTGTCGCCTAGGCTGGAGTGCAATGGCAAGGTCTTGACTCACTGCAACCTCCACCTCCCTAGTTAAGTGATTCTTCTGTCTCAGCCTCCTGAGTAGCTGGGATTATAGGTGGCCACCACCACGCTTGGCTAATTTTTGTATTTTTAGTGGAGATGGGGTTTTACCATGTTGACCAGGCTGGTCTTGAACTCCTGACCTCAGGTGATCCGCCCATCTCAGCCTCCCAAAGTACTGGGATTACAGGTGTGACCCAGCACACCCAGCCTTATTTCAGTTTTCTATTACGTAATGGAGGCTGTCTCTAAGGAGCTCTCTCATACCAAGTGAATCCTGAGCCTTACCAAAAGGCAGGGATTTTTCCTTTGTAAATGTTTACATTCATAATACATAGTACACTAATAATGGATTTTACATATCCAGACTCATGACTCCCAAATCTATATCTCTGATCTAGACCTCTTCTCTGCACTTCAAGTGCCTCTATATCAAACGGCCATAGATGTCTAACAGGCTTCTCAACTTAACATGATATCTCTCTAATAGGAATATTATATCCACCCCCAAACCTGTTCCTCTGTTTTTTAAGTTTTAGTAAGTGACTCCACCATTCACCTGATTTCTCCAAGATTTATCCTCAGTTATTCCCTTTCCTTCATACTCTGTATCTATTTCACCAGCAAGCTGTACCTTGTTTGATCTGCTTCCAGTGCATATCTTGAATCCATCCACTTCTCTCCATTTCTGTTACCCTAGTCTAAGTCATAATTATGTCATGCCTGGGTCTTCTCACTGATATTCTTGCCTCCTTATTCTCAGTTTAATACAGAGTATCCAGTGTGGTCCTTTAAAAACTTTATAATCAGCTCACTCACTTTTCAGTTTGAAATGCTTTAAAGCAGAGCAGTGATCTGGGTCCTGGCGACTGCTCCAGTTTCCACCTCTGCTCATACTCTGCAAGAGGTCTTCCCAAGACCTCTCCCACTTCTGGGCTTTTCATTCATTCCTTCTGCCTGGAATGTACTTCCCTCCGCTGATTCATTCCTGTACTTCTGGCCTCTGAGAGCCTTTCTCCCAGTTACCTTCTCATGACCCAGTTATTTCCTTCACTGAACTAATCACCATCTGTAATTATATGTTTTGTTTATTTTTTTGGTCTTTCTTCTCCCTGTTAGAATGTAAGCTCTATAATGGACATTTGTTGTATGTGTATGTGTTGTATGTATAATGTGTGTGTATACATTTACTCAGTTCAAGTCCAGCTAAACACCATTGGGACCTCAATATAAATTAAATGATACCTGCCTCTAAAATAAATAAAAGGGCATGGGCAAATACACAACTAGCCACAAGTCAGCTGTTGTGTTATAAGCAACTGTGCTTGAAGCATAATTAGCTAACCCCAAGACAGAAAGCAGCATATTCTTAGGATCCGTCAGTAATGCATTATTAAGACCAAACTCTTCCAGAGACTTGGGAGTAAGCTATGTTTCTGTTCTTTTCCAGTTGGCGTTTTTTAACATCCCCTTGATGGCTTACATATGTTGGAGCTTGCTGCAGCGGTGCTTCGGTCACAACTTCAGGTCTCATCTCCATCAAAGAAAATACTTAAAAATTATGCCAGTTCACCTACTTATGCTACTGCTGTACATCTGGCAGGTTTATTCCTGCTACTTTCTTTATGCAACATACGGCACCCTAGCTTTTTTATTCTCCCCTTTGCGGACTTGGTTGACACTGTTGACACCTGTTCTCATTCGTTGTGTGTGGACACTCAACCCCACCAAGCTTGGAATCTTCATGGTGCAGTTAAAAAGCCACCTGAACTCCTGAAGGCCATGTCTCACCACTGGGAGCTGGGCGTAAGCCCAGCCACTGTGTCTGTAGCCCAGGCTTCCACCGCGGTAGTAGGTGGAAGGCCAGTATTGGTGGGTGAGCTTCAGGGAGCTGCTGCTCCTTGGACTCCTGGATGTTGGAGAGATTACCCACTACTGATAACCTGCAGAGTGGACTGCAGAAAAGTCTCAAAAATGATGCTTTTATTCCTTCCCTCCCCAAGGAGGTAAAGGGTTGATTTACTTTTGTGAAGAGAAAACCCTCATCTAGGACACCCACAGGGTAGGGGTTAGGTGTGTGTGTATGGGAGTATCTGAGACCCAGTATGTTTTTTAGGGCTACCCCATGTAAAGCATCTACCGCTGTGCTTAGAATTCAGCAGCTGTCAAAGATGCAGTTTCAGGGACAGGGAAACTGTGAGGATCTGGATCCGACCCCGACTACCCCTGAGATATGAATTCCCTGGTCTGTTTTCCCACAGGATTGCGGGCTCTCTGATTCCTTAGTCGAAAGTGTTTTCAACTAATCAAATAAATGAATGAATGATAAATAATAAATACCTTGGGCCTGAGCCTTGCTTGTGTGGCGGGGCCTCTGGGGCGAGAGAAGGCGTGGCCTGGCCTGGCTTCTGAGAATGGAATGGGTGGTACGCGACCTCTGGGAGCTGGGCGGGGTGGGGCGGGAGGAGGCAGGGCCTGACCTGGTCTCTGAGAATGGAATGGGTGGTACGGGACCTCTGGGAGCCGGACAGGGTGGGGCAAGGGGAGGCGGGGCCGGGCCTCTGGGGCGGGGCGGGGCGGCTTGTTGCCGGAAACGAGTCCCAGACGCAGCGCCCCGGAAGTAGAGCGGCTGTCACAGTGCGACTCCCACTGCGGCGGCGGAGGCCTGTGTTTGCGGCCTTCTGCGAGCGACGAGGATGGCAAGCGCAGGGGCACCTGCAACCGCAGTCCCCACCTTGGCTCCGCCTTTGGAGCAGCTCAGGCACTTGGCGGTGGAGCTGCGGTTGCTCCTTCCTCGAGTGCGGGGTGAGCTTACGGAGTTGGAACGGGCGACGGCAGGGGCGGGCTCGGGGTCTGGGACAGGCCGGGCTCGGGTGAGGGAGGTGGCTCCGCTTACCTCAGCTTTTCTATTCGCCACCATTCGGCCCCTCCACACGCCACACCCACCAGTCGGCGAAGCCCAGGAGACCACTGAGGAGTTTAATCGAGAGATGTTCTGGAGAAGACTCAGTGAGTGCGCCTCCTGTCCGGGCTCCCCCTGCCTCAGCTTCTCTAGGGTTCCAAGCCCTTTCCCTCCTGCTCCCCACCGCGGGAGAGGACTGCCCTCCCCCGCTGCATCCTTTCTGTGGGATGCCTTACCCACCTCGGCACCCGAGAGAGTGAAATAGAATTCTAACATCGACATTGGTAGATGTTTTTGAGAAGTCTCGGTCGGTAAGGGAACGCGCTTCTTCCAAGTCCGTGCGGCACTAACATATTGGCACCTGCCTCCCCCTCTGCCTCCCCTCAGATGAGACAGCTGTGATGGTGTCAAGGGAAGCCACGACTCTGACCACAGTCTTCTCTCAGCTTCCACTGCCATCTCCACAGGTGGGCTTCACTTTCCTGGAGTCCTTGTGCTGCCGAGTTACACATTTAGGAATCCTCTCATTTTCTTTCCATCTTTTACGTGCACGCCAGATTTCTCTTCATCTGTCCAATGAGGTTACCGTTTTTCCTTCACCCGATTATGTGAAGACCAAATTGGAAAGTGCAGTTCCTGACGCAGAGTAGGCAGGTCTTCTAAACATTGATTCAATCTGAAGTTCACCCTGGTTATTTTCCTTTCTGATAATTTTTTAAGTACTTTTTATTTGCTGGGTGTTTTCACATACTTGTTGGCCATCTGACAGATGAGCAAGCAGACTCAGACGCACAGGTTAAAATTTTTTAAAAAAGCAGGGGAGGTAGGATTTATATCAAGATCTATCTGATGTCTAAGCTACACTTATTCTGTTATACTACATAATACCCTTTTTATATTGAATTTTTGTATATTTATTCAGTAACATGTAGACAATATAAAATTCAAAAGAAATCAAAGTTAAGTATACTAAAAGTTTATCTTTTCACCCACTTTCTCATTTTTGTCTCCCCCGGTTCCTTTTGTATTATTCCACATATATTCTGTGCATATATACATTCATGTACATTTATCTGTATATGTCAGCTTCTTTTTACACAAATGATAAAATACCATAAACACTGTTCTGGACCTTTCTTTATAGAAATTAACAATATATCTTGGAAATCAACTCTTAGCAGTACCTATAAAGTTGCTCAGTTCTTTGTCATGACTGCATGGTATTCAATAGAGTAGATATAAACATTATTTAAGCAGTACTGTATGTGGACATTTAAGTTGTTCCCAAATTACAATTACTGCAAACAGTTCTGTGATGAATTATCTAATTCTGTTTATGTGTGTATATCAGTAGAAAAAAATCCCAGAAGTGGAATTGCTAGAACAAAGAATTTATGCATTTTTAATATTCCTTTATGATAAAACTAATGAAAGTAAACATATTGGCTATGACCAGGTATGCTCTATGCTCAGTTTTTCTAGAGCTGTGTATCCTTAATATGGGAGTAAGATTCTTGTAAAATGGCATATTCATTGTCTTATTTGATTTTCATAGTCAATAGTTTTAATTTCTCAGTCTATATATACAGGTGTTTGGAAAGAATATAAATATCTTCTGCTACATGTACCTACAATGATAAACTCTCTCCCCCTACATACCTTTGAGTTTGTTTGTTTGTTCATTTGTTTGTTTGTTTGTTTTGAGACAGAGTCTCACTCTGTCTCTGAGGCTGGAGTGCAGTGGCAAGATCTTGGCTCACTGCAACCTCCGCCTCCCGAGATCAAGCAATTCTTCTGCCTCAGCCTCCTGAGTAGCTGGGATTACAGGTGCCCACGGCCATGCCCAGCTAATTTTTGTATTTTTAGTAGAGACAGGGTTTCACTATGTTGGCCAAGCTGGTCTCATACTCCTGACCTCAGGTGATTCACATGCCTCAGCCTCGCAAAGTGCTGGGATTACAGGTGTGAGCCACTGTGCCTGGCTTGCCTTTGAGATTTTCTATGAGAAAACAAGAGATGAATTGTATGAGAGCACTTCAAAAGATCATGGAAAATAGACTACTTATTTCAGAAAGAGTAGTTAATATTGTCTTATTTTTCTTATCTGCTAACCTGTTTCTTTCAAATAAACTTGGGACTTGTTGCTAAAACTCACTGCAAGTAAGATACCATGAGGAGGCAGCATAGAACTGATTTTCTATACATGCTCAGGATAGTAGTTACTCTCATAGATGAAAAATTAGAATGTGGATTTATTTGAAATATATACAAATATTCATGTATATAAATATATTCAAATAAATATATGTATACACACACACATATATATCTATATCTATATCTATATCTATATATATCTATATATATATATACACATGAATCATCATTGCCTTCTTGGGATCTCACCACTTTAGTCCTACTAAAAGATGAGTTGATTTTTTTTTTTTTAATTTCAGTCTGTATGGACTGATACTTTAATAAAATTATGTGCTCGGATGTTGAAGAAATGTCAAATTGCCATAAAAGTTTCTAAACACTCTCAGTCACTGTCCTTATCTCATCCCTGACTGGTCACAAACAGTTTGTAGACTGGCACCAACCTGGACCACATTTGCATAGTATTGACTTGGAATTTAACAGAAAATTGAGGACAAGGAAGATGAGAAAGCCAGTGACCACTTAGAAGAAAAATAGTCAACATGGAACATTGTTGAGTCCATGCTAGTACCTTTAGTTACATATTGTGATTCTGTTGAGAGAGACAGATTAATGGACTAATATAGAAGCTGGTCCATCAGTTGTTCTGTCTCTCTCTCTCTTTTTCTGTAAAGGACCACTTAGTAAATACTTTATACTTTGTAACCAGCTACCCAACTCTGCCCTTGTAGAGCAAACACAACTACAGACATTTAAACCAGTGAGCATAGCTGTGTCCCAATACACTTTATTTACAAAAACAGGCGGTGGGGCCTGAGTTGGCCTGTGGACTACAGTTTGCCAACTGCTGGCCTAAGATATCATGAATATCTTTGGGCACAGAGTATCAGGAATAAGTTTTTTCCTGCTGTTTTTTAATGGTTTATTGAGTTGTCAGCCCAGTGTATACTATATAACTAACTCCTCTTTGGTATGTGATCAGTATAGCAGAAGGCCTAACTTCATACCAGGACTTCAGAAAATGTTTGATAATGCTGTTGAAATATCTGTTCTAGTCTGGGCATGTTGGCTCACGCCTGTAATCCCAATACTTTGAGAGGCCAACGCAGGTGGATCACCTGATGTCAGGAGTTCAAGACCAGCATGGCCAAATGGCAAGATCCCATCTCTACTAAAAATACAAAAATTAGCCAGGTGTGGTGGCAGGTGCCTGTAATCCCAGCTACTTGGGAGGCTGAGGCAGGAGAATTGCTTGAACCTGGGAGGTGGAGGTTGCAGTGAGCCAAGGTTGTGCCATTGCACTCCAGCCTGGTTGACAAAGGAAGACTCTGTCTCAAAAAAAAAAAAAAAAGAAAAGAAAAATTTGCTCTATTCCACAGTGGAAGGATTATGATATAATCTGTTTCCTTTTTCATAGGAAACCCAGAAGTTCTGTGAACAAGTCCATGCTGCCATCAAGGCATTTATTGCAGTATACTATTTGTTTCCAAAGGATCAGGGTAAGCCATATAAGTGTTGCATTTATAGTGCAGATCTTTGCTGATATTGTGGATTATGTCCTGTGATTTTTACCTTTACCCAACTTGAACATGTAACTTTCTCCCATAAAACACAGTCAGAGATAATTTTATAATGTAAATAACTTCTATAAACAAGCCATTATTCTAAGATACAGATGCTTTGTTCTATTACTTCCTATCTCCCCTGCCTTGCCTGAATCTTAAGACTTTTAATTCTCACAGGCTCCTCCCTCTCAAACCCATTTTTAACACCACAGATACTGGCTGGCTCTCAGCCCCATATGAAGGCTCAGGTCATCCTTACTCTCCTCCACCCATGTTATATCTCACCCTATTTTGGAACATCTTCATAGGTTAAATGGCCTCCAGCCCTGCCTGTAGAATCATGCGTTGATTATAATCGCGCCAAAATTATAACTGAATACATGTCATGGATCTTCAGGGTTACTACTCAAGTGGTTTAAACTTCAAGTGTTTCATCTATAGTTGTTATGAGGTCATGGTCCTTAATGAATGAATACATGATGTCACAGAAAGATTTTGTTCCAGATCTCTTTTGAAGAAAACACTAAGAAATGGCAGGAGGGGCAAGAAAATGCCATGGGGATATAAGTAAGACCTGAGTTTTGTGTTAGCATGTAGGTTAAAGCATGTGGATGTACATTATCTTATATTCTTTAATGCTTAGACTCAGGAAAGCAGATGCTGCTTCTGAAAAGAACACCAGACTGCTTATTCTTTGGGTTTGGCCACAGGAATCACCCTGAGAAAGCTGGTACGGGGCGCCACCCTGGACATCGTGGATGGCATGGCTCAGCTCATGGAAGTACTTTCCATCACTCCAACTCAGAGGTAGTGATGCCACAGTTTAGGTTATCAGTTATTGGGCTCCTTGCCTGAGAGGGGAAAAGCTCATTTTAACAGCAAAGTTACTGACAGCTGAGAGTAATGACCAGCAGGAAGGAGCTTTTTACAAGACAGGAACCTAGGTTATTGATATATCCTTACTGATTTCTTTCCCCAGCCCTGAGAACAATGACCTTATTTCTTACAACAGTGTCTGGGTTGCATGCCAGCAGATGCCTCAGATACCAAGAGGTGAGTGAAAGTGGGAAGTGGGCCATGTCTGCTGGCCAAAGCAGAGAGACCTTTTCCTGCTTTATAACATGTATATTTGAATTTATATAAACAGTCTAGTGAAATATATATATTATATTACCAGAAGTGATAGGTATTAATACTTTTGTCATTCTCTAGTTTTCATATTTCTAAATTCCACTCCCCCTTGCTGTGGTTCTGTCTCTTGTTGAACAAATACAGTTTATTTTCCTAGTCCTACCCCAAGAGTAGTAGTATGGAACACACTGAAGCAGTTATTAGGTAAAGCCAGCTAGGCAAAAACAGTGGTTGTCCAAGAGGACCGTGATGATAAACATCATGTGACCATTTCATTTCTTCTTGTGGTAAATAAAATACAAGCTTTTGATACTCCTGTCTAGATACCAGGGGATGTAGTGAGAAGAATTTTAGATTAAACCACCACCGTTGTCAACCATCCTTGGCACTGCCTTCATTAGGAACAGTGTGGTTGTCCTTTGCAGTCTTAAGAAAATTGTTGGGTTTCTCCTCTAATTCTAGTGCTTCTGATCTTTCACTCATAGATAACAAAGCTGCAGCTCTTTTGATGCTGACCAAGAATGTGGACTTTGTGAAGGATGCACATGAAGAAATGGAGCGGGTGAGGGGACCTTCATCGCTGGAAGGCAACTCTTTGACTAGTAGATGAGAGTTGATTATAGAGAGAGATTCCCTAAGCATTGACCAGATAGGTCTTATTCTCACTACTGTCCTCTGTCTTCCATCTGTCATTCCTTGTTTGTGTGTGATTTAGTACCACTCCTCTCTGTTCCCTTACTGGACAAGGAGAGCGAAAACAGGGTTTGTGAAGTAATTCAACTCCATAGCTATTAGTGAAGTGGCTGGCTAAGGTTTTTGGACAACGAAGGCATGCTGCTAAAAGTATAATAGGCCCCCTTTTTTTTCTTTTTCTCTTATTTTTTGCACATACATCATGGTATGTCTTAGGCTGTGGAAGAATGTGACCCTTACTCTGGCCTCTTGAATGATACTGAGGAGAACAACTCCGACAACCACAATGATGAGGATGATGTGTTGGGGTTTCCAAGCAATCAGGACTTGTATTGGTCAGAGGATGATCAAGAGCTCATAATCCCATGCCTTGCACTGGTGAGAGCATCCAAAGCCTGCCTGAAGAAAATCCGGATCTTAGTGGCAGAGAATGGGAAGAAGGATCAGGTGGCACAGCTGGATGACATTGTGGATATTTCTGATGAAATCAGCCCTAGGTGAGTGTGACCCCCACTTGAAACATCTGAGCAGCAGCATTCTGATCTCAGTTTGTGCTATCACCCCAAGGTTTCTTCCCAGTTTATTTATATTTTGAAAGTTTTCAAACATATAGGAAAGTAAAAAAAGTACTTCAGTGAACACCCCTACATCCTTCCATTAGATTCGCCTATTGTTCACATTTTTTCCTGTATTGGTTTATTTCTCAAAAGATAGATGTTTCATATTTATTCCAGAATGATTTGAGAGTAAATTGCAGAAAGCAATGACTTTCACTCCTAAATACTTAAGTATGTATCTCCTGAAGTACTTTTATTCCTGCTCTTATTGTCACATCCAAGAAATTTGACATTGAATGTAATATTATCTAATATTTAGATTTCTCCAGTTGCCTCTATCTAAAATGTCATCTAAATTCAGGGTTCTATCAAGGTCTCACATTGCATTTAATTGTCATCTCTTTAGTCTCTTGAAAGCTAGAACAGTTCCTATCCTTTGTAGTCTCTAAAAATCAACATTTTAAAAAGAAACCAGGTCAGTTGTCTTGTAAAATATCCAACAATCTGGATTCATGTGATTGTTTTCTCATTTTTTGCAAGAATGTTATGTAATTGAATGTTTTGTGCTTCTCATTTTATCATATCAGGGAGGTACATGATGTTGGTTTGCCTCATTATTGGTGGTTCTAAATTTGATCACTTGGTTAAAGTGGCGCTCACTTTAGGAAAGGTAACTTTTACTCTAATTTTAGTTCCATTGATGAACCTGCCTGCCTACATTAGTTATTAAACTGATGGTTTCACATCCTCACATTTTTGACTGAATCGATCATGCACCCTACTATGAACCAAGGGAATTTTTCCCCCAGCTTCCTTGTGAAATGGGATATGCATGTTTCAATAAAGACTGGTTGAACTCATTCTGCATTAGTTGCCCAATTGCCCAGTTTTAAAAACTGACAGGCTTCCTGGATGTCAGATAAGCAAAAAGAAAAAAGGAAAAAAAACTGACAGGCATTTCTGGGACAGTTTCTCACTGTTGACATCCATAGTTGTGTACTAGAAACAACCTGGCTGCATTTTTTTTTTTGTTAATGGTTACTTTTGTTTTCTGCTCTTAGTGTGGATGATTTGGCTCTGAGCATATATCCACCTATGTGTCACCTGACTGTGCGAATCAATGTAAGTACTGGCTTTGAGGGAATAGCTACAGATCTAATGGGAAGAATTTCACTAATCACTAGTATTTCCTCTAAGCTATAGTGTACATATTTATTTGTCACATTTGGATGGAAGTACAACAATAATGTCACAATTCTCGCATGCATTTGTGCTTAATAAATAGTTGCTAAAGTTTAATTATTAATAGCCATGAGCTTTGGTAGTTCTCTCTTCCATAATCACCTGGGTAATCATTTAGAAAAGCCTAAAGGCCTTAGAAAATGCTGCTTTGAGGCTGGACATGGTAGCTCACGCCTGTAATCCCAGCACTCCGGGAGGCTGAGGCAGGCGGATCACCTGAGGTCAGGAGTTCGAGACCAGCCTGGCCAACATGGTGAAACCTTGTCTCTGCTAAGAATACAAAAATTAGCTGGGCATCACATGCCTATAATCCCAGCTACTCAGGAGGCTGAGGCAGAAGAATCATTTGAACCCAGGAGGTGGAGGTTGCAGTGAGCCGAGATTGTGCCACTGAACTCCAGCCTGGGCAACAGAGCAAGACTCCGTCTCAAAAAAAA